GTCGGACGCTCAACCGACTGAGCCACCCAGGCGCCCCGAGAAAAATATTTTAAAAATTATATATGACATACAAAATTGTTCAGGATATATGTACAGTGTGATTTAAACTATATAAAATATACATAGGGTAAGAAAAAAGGAAATATATTTAAAGGTTATGATATTTATTGGTTAGGGACTACTTTAGATTCTGAATTTTTTTTTTTCAACGTTTATTTATTTTTGGGACAGAGAGAGACAGAGCATGAACGGGGGAGGGGCAGAGAGAGAGGGAGACAGAATCGGAAACAGGCTCCAGGCTCTGAGCCATCAGCCCAGAGCCTGACGCGGGGCTCGAACTCACGGACCGCGAGATCGTGACCTGGCTGAAGTCGGATGCTTAACCGACTGCGCCACCCAGGCGCCCCATTCTGAATTTTTTAAAAGCTTATTTTTTTAGGTAGATTTTTTAATAGAAATCTATCACATACAAAAATATGTATAAATCATATGTGTATGTGTATGTATAAATGTGTATATGTATAAATGTGTATATGTATAAATATACAGCTTAAAGAATTTTCAAGTTAACACACACATGTAACCAGCACTCACACCAAGAAATAGAAGGGTATGAGCTCCCCAGAATCAGCCTTCACCTTCCTTCCAGGCATTACCGTACCTCTTGCAAGGTAGCACTATCCTGACATCTTCCACCATTGATTACTTTTGCCGATTTTTGAGCTTTAGAACAATTGAATCATATACAACTTTTTTAGGTTCCTGGATCAAGTTGCACAGTGTGTGTTAGTAGTGGTGGTGGGAGATTCTCACTTAACACCAAGCAAATCTTGGACATAAGCAGGGTGTCTGAGAATTCAACTCAATTCTGACACTATCTACCCAGAGATAGCGTCAGATTCCACAGGTTAAAGGGCTCAGTCCCAGAAGACTGCCCCTGCCCCGGCCCGTGCAGCCTTCAGACACCAGTCACAAGCCTGGGCTATTACCTGTGCTTCTGATTGCATGGCTATAAAAGGTTCCTGTGACCCCCTCCTCAGGTTTGATTGATTTGCTAGAGTAGCTCACAGAACTCAGAGGAACACTTTACTTCCTAGATTACTGGTTTATTATAAAAGGATGTAACTGTGGAACAGCCAGATGGAAGAGATGCATAGGACAAGGTATGGGGAGAGGACAAGGTATGGGGAGAGGACACGGAGCCTCCATACCCTTTCAGAGCATACCATCCTTCCCACATCTGCATGTGTTCACCAACCCAGAAGCTCTCCCAACCCTGTGCTTTGGGTTTTTATGGAGGCTTCATTACATAGTCATAATTGATTAACTCACTGGCCACTGGCAACTAATTCAACCCCCGGCCCCTCTCCCTTCCGCAAGGTCAGTGGGTGGGACTTAAAGTTCCAGTCCTCTAATCACAGCTTGCTTCTCCTGGTGACCAGGCCCCCTATCCTTAGGTGATCCTGGGGCTTTCCAAAAGTCACTTCATTAATATAACAAAAGACACCTTTATCACTCTCCTCACTTAAGAAATTCCAAGGGTTGTAGGGGCTGGGCCAGAAATGGATGAAGACCAAATACATGTTTCTTATTATAAATCACATCACAACTATATTCTTTGGTGTCTGGCTTTTACTCCGTGTTATGGTTGTGAGATTCGTCCTCGTGTGTAACAGTAGTTGGTTCATTCTCATTGCTGTGTAGTCTTCCTTTGTATGAAAATACCCCGGTTTAATTATTCATTATTAGTCTTATAATAAAACAACCAGTTTAAAAAATAAAAATGGAAGTTGCAGCTCAAATTGGAGGTATTTTCTAATTGAATTTTCCCCACCATATTAGCCTGCATTTATCTCACCTGGGAGTTCATTCTCCCTTCATTCTGCCTCCCACCCCTTCCCTGGCTCAGGATGGCTAAAGGGAAGGAGGTCTGTTATCAAGGCGCCCCTCCCAGTACCGTAATGCCAGCACCCAAGTCTCTACTACGGGGTGTAATAGGATGATCTTGCGCTCCATGTCTTTTTCTAGTTGCAGACTTAAATGACTCAGAACCATAAGTGAGCCTACATAATTCTAGAATATTCAGGGGTTTATACTTCACATACATTTATCTAGGTTTAATATAAAATGTAACTATGGAACAGTTCCATATAAAATGGAACAGTCATAATCTTAGAGTTCAAGTGACCTTAGAGATGATCTCAAGCCATTCTGACCTGGCAGATGGGGGGGCAGTGTCTTTGTGGTCTGCCCAGTCCTTACCGTGGTGGGGGCCTGAGCCAGAACAGTCTCCTGACTCACATTTGGAGGCCAGCTGCCTCCCTAAGTACAAAGCCTTTTGGGCTCCTTTTTTTTTTTTATTTTAATTTTTTTTAACGTTTATTTACTTTTGAGACAGAGAGAGAAACAGCATGAATGGGGGAGGGTCAGAGAGAGAGAGGGAGACACAGAATCTGAAACAGGCTCCAGGCTCTGAGCTGTCAGCACAGAGCCCGACACGGGGCTCAAACTCACAAACCGTGAGATCATGACCTGAGCTGAAGTCGGACGCTTAACCGACTGAGCCACCCAGGCACCCCTGGGCTCCTTTTAAAAAGAAGCTGGGAATTGTGTTTTCTCGTTCATTTGTTTCCAGCTTTTACTCTGTAGCCTTTAAGTTGTGAAGCATTCACTTCACAGTTTTGAATTTGTGTTTGATCTTGATTCTTATTCCTGGGTGTGGCAATATTAGCCCTTCAATTTTAAAGGTTTATTCGAAATCACTAATGGAAAAGTTATTGTTTTGTCACTCTCTAAAATTCAACCAGGACTCCAATTCAGTTGAAGTTGGAATTCGGAGGACAGATCCATATTCGGTTTGTTATGGTGGTAAGTCTGTGAAGTAACTTTTTTATGTGTTGCTTTTCAGGAGTAGATGGTTTACCGGTCCCAGGTGACCAGGCAGTTTCACAAATGAGCCATTTAGCAACTTTAAAAAGACACAGCTCCAACTCACTGGAAGTGGAATTTCTCCTATCACACAAAAGAAGACGAGCATCTTATCCACGGGGAGATTACAGGGTTTGTATATTAAAGTGAAAATCTTTGGGTTTTTTTCATTCTGCTTTATTTCTTTTTCTTTAAATTGAGTTTAATTTCATACAGTGAACAGTTCAACAAGTTTTGGCAAATATGTATACCTCCCCCGACCACCCGCCATCAAGAAGAAGAACATTTCCATCATCCCAGAAGCATCCCTCATGCTTCTACCCAGTAAGACCTGCCCCCCGCCCCCAACCTTGGAGAAACACCATTCTAATATTTTCCCTATCATAGATGAGTTTTGCCTGTTCTAGAACTTGATATTAGTAGAATCATACAGTATGTAATCTTTTGTGTCACTGTCTCTTTTTCCCAGAACAGTATTTTGGAGATTCATCTGGTTGTAGTGACATTTCATTCCCATTCATTGCTGAGTAATATTCTGTTGTATGAGTGTCCATAATTTGTTTATCCATTCTCCTTTTGATGCACATTTGGTTTTTTTCCAGTTCAGGCTATTATGAGTAAAGTGGTTCTGAACAATAATGTTCAGAATGTGAACACTTTGTGAATGTATGTTTACATTTAATTTGAGTAAAGACTCAGGAGTGCAAATACTAGTTCAAAGTATTTGGATAGATGAAGTTTAGAGGAAACTGCCAGTTTCCTGACATAGTTGTACTGTTTGACATTTCCCTCATATTCTGCTGTTCTTCTTGATCTCTAAAGTAGAATGAAATAGATTATTAGACTGTATATAACTTAGCTTAACAAAAAATGCATTTATTTACTTATATAAGGATGGGGACAGTAGTACCTATACCTAAGTAGTACAGACAGTTCTCTTAACTTCTATCAACCCCAGTATGTTCATCTTTGGGGATGATGTTAACTGCCTACCACGAGTCATGGTTTCTGACATAATTATGTGAAAGCACTTTGAAAAGTATAAAACACTACACAAGAGTAATATAGCAATATTGTTTTTATAATTACTAATCTATATTATAATTCCATATAATTTTTGCTGTTTAATAAGTTGGTAATGCAGGGCTGATTCATAAACTTTTAACACAAAGACATTGATAACTACTTGGAATGTTTATGTTAAAATTATTATTATGGTCCATTGTAATTAAGTATAGTGGCTATTTGCTGTCCGTTTACTTATTTATACCCTGTTTTATTCCAAAAAACAATTTAAGGTGTCTTAGCGATTAGTTTATTAAGAAAAATAGGTGCTTTAGTGTTTCTTATTTTGTCCACAGAGTGTCACTGTTGGATTATTTGAAAGTCACAAGCCATACAACATTTGGTTCTTTGTTGATGGTTAGAAATATTTGCTTTCAAAGCGGTTCTAGTGCCAGATTACTAGAAGACTAGTCTTTCTACCCCAAAGTACATAAGGGGTTAAGCTTGATAGAAAATGGTGTCTTGAGTGTAGTTGGGTTAATAAGAAAACAGTTAAGTAAGTACAGTTGACCCTTGAACAATGTGGGGGTTAGGGATGCTGATCCCCACACAGTCAAAAAGCCACGTATAACTTCTGACTCCCCCAAAACTTAACTGCTAATAGCCTACTGTTAACCAGAAGCCTTTCTGGTAAACAGTCAATTAACACATGTGTTGTGTGTTATATGTAATATGTAATATATACTGTATTCTTACAATAAAGCAAGCTAGAGAAAAGGATGCTATTAAGAAAATCATAAAGGGGTGCCTGGGTGGCTCAGCCATTTAAGCATCTGACTCTTGATCTCAGCTCAGGTCTTGATCTCAGGTTGGTGAGTTCAGGCCCCGTGTTGGGCTCCACGCTGAGCATGAAGCCTACTTTAAAAAAATCGTAAGGAAGAAAAAACACGCGTATAGTATTGTACTGTATTTCTCGGAAAAAAAAAAAATCCATGTATAAGTGGACTCGCACAATTTATACCCATGTTGTTCAAGGGTCAGTGGTACATCTTTTTGTGTTGTTGTACTATTTGCAGAGGGCAGAGGTCCTTTATGTCTTTGGTGCTTGTTGAAAGCGGAATTGAAGTCCTCAATGTGTCTCTCAGTTCTTTCTTTTCTATTTCCTTTTGGTTTATTAATAAATCTTCCCTGGACAAGAACACAAATGCCTGATTGTGAAGAAGGTGGAAGCATAATTAATGAATGCATATCTGACTGAATATTTACATAATATTAATTGCTAATTGCCAAATATATTCACACTTACTATCATACAGAAAATGATTTAAATTCTTTTTCAGCCTTCACATACTGTGGAGTTACTCTGAACTTGAGAGCTGAAGGAAAAATTTCTCTCGTGAATTTGTATGCTTCCTTAGCAATGAACAAGACAATGAACACTTAACCATTTTGTTTCCTTCTCCTTATCTGATAGGAAATTCACAGTGGTTTCGTACCCTGTTTGAGTAGCTTTTCTAATTTCGGGAATAATTTGAGATTTACAGAAGAGGTGCAAATATATTACAGAGAATTCTCATACATACAGCTTCCCTCAATGTTAACTTACCTGTATAACTTAAAATTAGGGTAATTTTGAAGCATAGACTGTTTTTGCAAGTACGATGTTAACACTGTTACAGTCCTGTCAGCTGACCTGCAACCCTTGTTTGAATTTCAGCATTCCTCTCCCCCTTGTCCTTTTTCTCCTCCAGGATCCAATCCAGTATCCCACAGTGAATTCAGTGGTGTCTCCTTAGTTTCTTGCAGTCTGTGACAGTTCCTCATTTTTCCCTTGTCTTTCATGGCCTTGACATTTTTGATGAGTGTGCAGATCAGTTATTTTGTAAAATGTCTCTCAATTTTTGTATGTCTGATTATTTTTTCTTGAATAGCTTGAGATTATGCATTTTTGGCAAACATGCCATCCAAATGATGTTGTCTCCTTATTAAATCGTTATCAGGGACACATGGTGTCCATATATATCTTTTTACTGGTGATGTTAACATTCAGTCTCTTGGTTAATGTGGTATCTTCTGGATTTTTCCACTGTAAAGTTACTGTTTTTCCCTTTGTGACTAATAAATATCCTGGTGGGAGGTACTTTGAGACTATGCTAATATCCCGTTTCTCCTCAATTCTTTTGCCCTCTGAGTTGATTCATGTATTTTACCTGCAACATTCACTACTGTGGTGTTTGCCAAATGTTAACTATTTCCCTCATTCCTATGTGTATATTAATAGGAATTCATTTGTAAGGAAGAGCTGTCCTTTCTCCCCCATTTACTTATTTATTCAATTATATATTTTATATCTGTATGGACTCATGGGCATTTATTGTATCATATGAGTTTTTAAATTTTTTTTAAGTTTATTTTAGAGAGAAAGAGTGAGAGTGTGCAAGGAGGGGAGGGGCAGGCAGGGCAAATCCCAAGCAGGCTCAGTGCTGTCGGTGCGGAGCCTGACACGGGGTTCCATCCCATGACTGTGGTGAGACCATGATCTGAGCCGAAATCAGGAGTTGGACGCTTAATAGACTGAGCTGCCTACGTGCTCCTATATGAGTTTTTAAATAATCCAATATTATCATTGTTTTATTGATCTAATTTTACAACTTTGGTTATTGGGAGTTCCTTCTAGTTGGATCCTGTGGCCTTTTCACATGCCCCTACTTCTTTTTGAGCACTTCCTTATTTTCTGATATCACAAGATATTCTAGGCTCATTTATACTTTCCCTGACCCAGCTCTGAAGTCACCTCTCCCCAAGGGGCCCTGGTTCCTTTACTGGAGAGTGATATTTAGAAACCAAGATCTGGACACTAGATATGTTCATTGCTACTCTTGTATCATTGCTCTTAGGTCCTCCCAGTGGACAGAGCTAGGAAATATATGTATACTATCCCAAGCCTACACATACATTTTTATTTCTATATCTGTCTTTATATGTATTGTAAACTATGTGTTCATACTGATATTCAGTAGCTTTTCTTAAATCTAGGTTTTTATCTAATAACTTCTTTCCTCACCCTCCTTTTTAATCAGCTTTTATCTTTTTCATTCTCATGTGAATACGGGTTTTGGTTTTACTTTATGTTTGCTTTATATTATAAGACTTATGAAGTGCTTTTGGAATGTAGATGAAAAAGGAAATAATTAAAATAGATAAATTATATAATATAAAGTATTGGGTTTTCTAGTGCTTAGTTTGGGTCCTAGTGATATTAAGCACTGACTACTTCTTTTTATAATATTAATAGCAGAGCAATGCATCTGAAAGTTTCTCTGATGAAAATCATCAAAATCAACTTATGGAACTTCAACACCATTGTGAGGTATCAAATTTCTGTCTTTTAAATGTAGTTTTCCAAAATTTTGCGTAAAAGTTTTTTAACCTCATTTAATGTCATTGTTTTGTCATGTCAAATTCTGTATGATTATCACTCCATTGTAATATATTTAAAAAAAAAGTTCTAGTTAGAACAGTACCTCTAGGTGGAACACTTGAAATAAGAATATGGCTTCTGTAGCTTTAAAAAACCCAACAGCCCATAACTGGTCCAATGTAGTTCAATGTCTTTCATCTAGATTGTTCAATATTTGATTTCTCCAATATACTCTCTTAAGGAAATTGGCTGATTTCGATAGAATTTAGTATGTGCCTAAATGCATATCAAGATATCTCAATTGAAAGAAAATGGCAGCTCACCATTGTTTTTTAAAAAGTGTATCTTACATAGTTTTGAGGGGATGTTGTAAAAGTGAGCCTGTTGGTAGAGATTGATAGA